AGACCGCAAACTGTCCTCCTTCCGTTGGAGAGCTGCTGCAGCGCCACCTGCCGGCGCGGAGGACCGAAGGCAAACACACAACTTTTTCAGCGTATCGAAACCCCGTGAACTGCGGATGCTGTCAATCAGAAACAAAGACAGAAGTTGCTGGAAAAGCTCAGCAGGTCTGGCAGCATCTGTGAGGGAAAAAATCAGAGTTAACTCTGATTTTTCTTTGCAGATGCTGCCAGATCTGCCGAGCTTTTCCAGCAACTTCTGTTTTTGTTCTTTAGCTTTTCAACATCTCCATCATAGAGATATAGAGCATGGAAACAGAGCCTTCGGTCCAACTCGTCCATGATGACCACAGATCCTAAATAAATCTAGTCCCATTTGCCAGCATTTGGCCTATATCCCTCTAAACCCTTCCTATTCATATACCCATCCAGATGCCTCTAAATGGTGTTGTAATTGTACCAGACCCCACCACTTCCACCGACAGTTCATTCCATCCACACACCACCCTCTGCATGAAAAAGTTGATCCTTTGAACCCTTTTAAATCTTTCACCTTAAACCTGTGCCTTCTAGTTTTTGGACTCCCCTACCCTGGGGAAAAGACCTTGGCTATGCACTCTAACCATACACCCTCATGATTTTATAAACTTCTATAAGGTCACCCCTCAGCCTCTGATGCTCCAGGGAAAATTGCCCCAGCTTATTCAGCCTTTCTCCATAGCTCAAACCCACCAAGGATAGCAATGTCCTTGTAAATCTTTTTTGAGCCCTTTCAAGTGTAACAATGTCTTTCCTATAGCAGGGAGACCGTCAGTTCTCTTCAAACTTCCTATGACCATGAAATTTTCTTGTTTCATTTTTCTTCTCGAGTTCCATTTCTGTTGAATCTTGTGACTAAGTTGCCACTACCTCTTTTCAATCTGGGGATCTCCAGTCTGTACTTTTTTTTTTGATCTGTATCAGATTTCTACAGTGGGGAAACGAAATGCAGCCTGGGTGATGCAGATTTTGCAGAACACCTACATTCTGTCTGTAAAAATGACCCAGGCGTCCAGTTGTCTGCCATTCCAAACACGATCATGTTCCCACACCGACATTTCTGTCACAGGCCTGCTGCAGTGTTCCAATGAACCAGCACAATTTAGCATGGCCAATCCACCTAACCTGAACACCTTTGGGCTGTGGGAGGAAATCCATTCATTCATGGGGAGAATGTGTAAACTCCATACAGACAGTCACCCAAGGCTGGAATCAAACCCAGGTTCTTGGCGCTGTGAGGTAGCAGTGCTAACCATTGAGCCACTATGCCACATTCAGCACAGTAACCCAGTTTTTCACCGTTAGCTCTTATTATTTCCTATTCAGCTTTTCTACTGTCCTGGCCTGTTATTCTTAATCTCCTTGTTTACCCACCCCTTTCATATCTCTCTCAGGGCTACATCTCTACCTTCCCATTCATCAACACCCTCACCCCCACCTATAGTTTCAGCATTAATACCAGTTCTTCCTAGCTACTAACTGTTCTGATGAAGAGTCACTGCCTCTCATTATCCCGTGGTCACAAGAAATCACAGTTCAGTCTGTTTGAAGTTTCTTTGACACCTTTAGGTGTTACTTTGCATTGGTCCCACATGGAAGATTTTGCCAACCAGCTACTGAATTTGCACCTGTATTTGTTTTGGCTCTGTAGCAGTCCTCTTTTTGGAAGTGAGGACTAAAACCTTCCAGTTTTTTGAGGATACAACCCATCATTGTAAGAAACTATATCTCCTTCCTCTCTGACACAGACAGCAGGAAAGAATAACAGACCTATAGAGAGTTTTTTTTAAAGCAAAGGAAAAACAACACTGTTGGTCAAGGGTCTCAAAATAATGGATAGAATTTGATAACTTCTCATGGTCCAATGGATTTCTTGTTGACAAAATTGAATTACTGATAGCCATTGACTCATAGAAGATTTTCTATTCAAGAATGAAATCAAGCTGGATCCAACTATTGGAAAGTGGCTACAGACCAGCTCTGCCGGAAATATATGATGGTCAGAAATACAGATTTTTGGAAACTTTATTAGGTTCCCAAGGCTTCTACTGTGAGAAGGAGAAAGAGACATGCAACTCCTGAGATTTCCCTCTTCACTGACCACCTAGGTCTGTGAAAAGTAAGTCTAAAAAAAATTGCCAGAAAAATAACCAACAGAGGTCTTTAAAATCTTTTCAATATCCGGTTTTCCAGTAATTAAGAGTAATAACTCCATTCTTATCTTCCTAAAAGTTTTGCTTGTCTTTTTCTAAATGCACTTGACTTTCTGTAAAGAGCAGGTAAATCAGAGCACTTGTCAACTGTTGATTTCTTTTCCAAGAAACCACATGTTAAGAACCCCTTTCAACCAGAAAGTGTCCAAACTGTTCTATATCTTTCTGGTTTTCTTTACATAGCCTGCAAATATACATATGTATTCCCAACAAAGGGTGTGTAGAAGTAATGCTGTGAAGTGTTCTCATTTAAATGCTTTGTTTCCTTGGGTACTTGGTTTCTTACTGCGTGTTTAAAAACTGAATTGTGTCTTGCAATGAATAAATCACATGTATTTTTTGATTGTAATTCCCATTATATTTTATTTGTTCCTGTCCCTTCATAAATGGTGTCAAACATTTAATTAGAATAGAATATTTATAAAATTATATGCACTCACAACAGAGTTATGACAAATTTTATTAGTTCCAATGACTACACAAATTTCAAATGTGGTTAATTTCTGCAAAACATAATATCCTCTTTCCTTGTGAAGGTTCCAGGTTTCTTTTCTGCTTGTCACAGAAACATAGAAAATAGGAGCAGGTTTAGGCTATTTGGCCCTTTCAGCCACCTCTACCCCTCAATATGATCATGGCTGATCACGCAACTCAGTATCATGAGCCTGCTTTCTCCCCATGCCCTTTGATCTTTTAGCCCTAAGAACTATAGCTAACTCCTTCATGAATACAAGGATGTGGCTGGGAATGGAGGGATTGAGTAATAAGGGGCTGGATAGACTGGGACTTTCTTAACTGGAGTGTAGGAGGTTGAGAGGTGATCTTATAGAGATTTACAAAATCATGAGGGATTTAGAAAAGGTGAATGGCAGGAGTATTTTCCCTCAGGTGGGGGATTTCAAGACAAGGGGGTATGTTTTTAATGTGAGAGGTAAAAGATTTAAAAAAGACATGAATGGCAATATTTTTACACAGAGAATGGTTCGTGTGTGGAATGCACTTCTAGAGGTGGATGCGGGTACAGTTATAACATTTAAAACACACTTGGATAAGTACATGAATAAGAAAGGTTTGGAGGGATATGGGCCAAATGCAGGCATGTGGGACGAGTTTAGTTTGGGAATTATGGTCAGCATGGACTGGTTGGACCAAAGTGTCTGTTTCCTTATTGCTCAATGAATCTATGAAAATATTCAATATTTTGGCCACCATCACTTTCTGTGACAGAGAATTCCATAGGGTCTCTGGTCTCCAGGTGAAGAAATTTCTCCTCATCTCAGTCCTAAATGACATTCAGTGACACCTGGTCCTGGGCTCCCAAGTCATTGGGAACATCCTTCCTGCATTTACCCTGTAGTCTTGTTAGAATTCTATTGGTTTCTATGAGATCCCCCTCATTCTTTGAAACTTCAGTGAATAAGTTCTAACTGATCCAATTTCTCTTAATACATTAGTCCTGCCATCTCAGGGATCAGTCCAGTACACCTTCGTTGTGCTCCCTCCACTGCCAGAACATCATACTCAGGTCAGGAAACAAAACTGCGAACAGAACTCCAGGTAGGTCTTACTGATAGCCTATACAATTGCAGCAAGACATCCTTGTTCCTGTATTTGGATCCTTTCGATATAAAGACCAACATACAATTTTCTTTCTTCATCTCCTGCTGCACCTGAATGCTTACTTTCATTGACTGATGC